GACCATTGCTTAATGTTCAGTTTGAAAAAAATATATATATATATCACAAGGAAAATGGGTAGGGATTCTTTCTCCCTTAGGCCTTCAGGGAATGAGTAGTATTTAGAATCTCTGGCTGAAATTCAAGCCTTTTTACCATGTAAATTTTTAATATAAACTCATTGACGTGCTTTTTACATCTGAGGACTGAAAATGGATCTTAATGTTTAAGTTGTGGAATGGTATATTTCTTAAATGAAGGGGGAACATTTAAAAAAAAAAATAGATTAGAATACCAGCATTAGTGAGCTTAAGGAATTTTAGTATGTAATAGCAAAGTATAGCAAAGTATTTGATTAAAAAAATAATCTTGAATTGCTAGTCTGTAACTAGGTGCATTCTAATTTAGCAGGTGAATATTCTTTACTTATTGATATATGATGGGCTTTTTGCAAATAGAAACCTTTATCTGAGTCCCATGTGTTGCTTGTACTGATGGGATGTATGCTTACAGCAGCTTACTGCTGCTTTAAAATGTATAAAAATATGTTTTGAGTGTTTGCTCATAACTCTTTCTAACCTCCACTTGTTAAATTGTCAGACATTGGTATTTTATCAGTCCGCAATGTAAGTTAAACTAATGTTCTTAGGAATCCAACTTGTACACACACTGTTTGAAAAAAAAACCCTCAGGGACAGTTTACACACTATCCTCACTCAATTCAGGTACTTGTACTCTCTTCTTAAACCTAGCAGTGACTTGTATTTTGTTTTGCTTTTCTTTTGACGTGCTGATAGCACATCCTTGATGAATGTCAACTTAAAACTCAGTTCAGGTATCCAGGTATAACTCAGCCAAACGGATTTTAAAGCTGCATATTTACTCTCCAGCACACAGTGCCTCAGACACTTATAGTGGCATTCTGTATATTCAGTTATTACTACTGAGCAGATCGCGTGGGGGTTCCTGCTATGTATTGTAAGAAATTCCTATGTATATTATATAATATGTATTATATTATATACATATATAGTATATATGTTATCTTAAACTTATATATTTTAAAATGCCACTACTAGCCAGCGCAGCTAAAAATGAACTACATTCCCAACTGCTTCTGTGAAGTGCAGAGGTAGTTTCTTAACGTGGCTCTTGCTTCTCTTTCACCATAACTACTTCTAAGCTCAAGCACTGGTCCTTGGCTGTCTGACCTCTACACTCTAGTTATGCAATGTCTTTAGAGAATTCTGTGCACTGGCCACTGTGATGGAAACCAATGGGCCGCGAGTGCTTCGAGTTTATTAGTAATTGTTCTGCCAAAGTTGGTGTTTGTATGACAAGTGTGTAAACCTGTCAGATAATCAGCAGAGGTACAAGTTGATAATGGTGTGTGGAATCTTTTCTGCCTAATTGGCAAGACCAGACCCTCAGCAGGTGTCTCTTTTCTAATGCTGAGCACTAATTCAGCATGCGTTGGCACTTAACATCTGTAGTGATGGGCCTCCATGCTGTGTTTGCAAGGAGGTGAAACTTTAAAATAAAATCTGCTGTTCTGCACTTGCAGTAATCTATTTGCAGTCACAAGTCAGCAACACCTCTGCTTTATTATTTGACACTTTACATCTAAAAAGTCTCCTCTTTCTATTTATGTAACCCATAGTCTTAGAAGAGTATGGAAAATGGCATTTCTCTTTGACCTCTAGAAGTTCAAGTGTCATGGGAAAAAAAAAAAACAGGAACCCCCCCCTTTACTCTATGGACCTCATTTCAATATACTGTTTACAGTTTGACGGAATTGTATAATTTAATATTTCTCTTGTACTGTAGTTTATATTTATTTACAGATTTTTTTTGTACTGTGTGATTTGAATTTTTTGTTCCTTGCTATGATCAATGTTTTATGTAGTAGAGCACTTATGATCACAAATTAAGGTTTTTGGTTTGATTGCACTACATTAATTTTTTTAATGCAGTTCTGATTTTTTGACTGGACTAAATAAGCTGTGTCTTAATGTATGTGATAAGTACTTTTAAATTTTTATTTCATGTGGTCCATTTATTTTTTGCATTGTATGTCAAAGCGCTAATTCTCTTGTTGTGCATGTGTAAGATTTAATGGCTCCATTGTATTATTTGACCATGTCATTTTGGAAACACATTCCCAGCTGTAACGTTGTGTATGGTAGTTTTCACTGGATGCTAGACTTTTCAAAACCACTATTCTTCTAATAAATTTTGTTGTGAAAAACTTTAAGGGGTTCCAATTCTGTTGTTTCTAGTGTGCTTTCTAAATGCCTGCGCTAATGATCACGTTATAGAACGCAAATTGTCACAAATAAAGAGAACCAGAGGAGGAAGTGAAAATAGAAAGTAAAACAAAGTCTGGTTGAGGGATCAAGGTCTGGAGTCTCTGCTCTCTGCTCATTTCTTGTCATAAATAGAACTGGCGATGGAGCTTCTTTAGCGGCTGGGTAGGGAATACATGTGAAATCATGAGGCAGCCTGTTTCTCATGAACTTGCTTACTCTAATTTGCTCTTTCCTACTGGCCACCTTAATTTTCTTTCATGATAAATAATTTATCTGGTGAAGAATGAATGGTCTCTCGGGAGGGGGGGTGGCGTGGGGGGAAAAAGTGGGCTTGCTCACTGAGCACTTAGTAATGAGTCGAGGTAGATGCTGTAGTAACAAAAGCTGAGCTAGAAATCCTTGCTGTTGCCTTGCATGGTTTGATTTGGCTCTTGGAAGGCATGCAGTTGTGTAGTGGAGCCAGTGTGCCTTTGAGTGGCTGGATTGTTTACCAGGGCAGGCTGGACCAAGCTAACCGAATTGCCTTAGCTGTTTGTTTGCACAAGCAGGCACTGGTGTTGCTTTTTATTCTCTCTGCAGCTACCACCTCTCCATAGAGGCATGTCACCAGCTCCTGATTAACTTATGGAAAGCTCCAGTGACTCTCTGTGCTGCTATCCTTCTGCACGGGGTCACAAGGCAAACTCTGCAGAGTGACACCACGCTTCAGCTGTTCCTTGTTTTAGAGCCGAGTTACCTTCTTTCAGCCATACTTTGTGTTGGGTTGAACTACTTTTAACATTATGCATTATTGATGCTGAAATGCTGAATACTGAAAAGTAGGTTACTGTAAGTGTTGGATAATGGAGCCCACGTGAGTTTAGGCATTTCTGTTAACCGTTGTATTCAATCCTAGCATGACGAGGGCAATACACAGGAATCTCCGAGTTATGAGAAAATTCATGCAGTCCTGCAGACTGTCTAGCCTTGGTTTCTCTTCTCCTGAGAAGTTGTTTTTCTCAGCTTGTGCTAGTGAAATGTCGCTACTTTAGGGCTTGCATTTGTTAATGTGAATTTCGGTGCCTATTTGAGATCCTTAAATAGCTGTTACATTGAAAATTAACCATTGTATTCCTTGCATACTAATCCTAGTATTAAAAATTAAAAGCAAAATGCTAAGGTAGCTTGATATTGTCATTGGTTTAGCTTTACTGTGCACATCTCTCTAAATAAAAAAAAATGGTTTGATTAGAGGCTGCATCTTACTAATTTTGGAATAGTTATGTCTTTATGTGTAAATATCTTGAAAGTGTTGTGCTGTAAACCAGCATTTATCATATCTTTTTCTGAATGTCTGAATACATCTGTCAAATCGATGAAAATAGCCTTTGAAAGTGATGAACCATATTCCCATCTGCCATTCTTAGGAAGTATTATACGTTGCAAGCTTTCTTCAGAATGTTTTTAATCGACACCTTTTGTCCTGTGATTATCAGAAATAGCATTTTTTTTTAGTTTTGCTGGAGGACTTGCTGATGGTCTTGCACTTTGAAGCTGAAATTGTTCAGACTTAAAGGAATTAAGTCTAGAATTTTTCTTTTAATGGTGTTTTCTCTAATATAAATATGTATAATAACGACCAGAATGTGCTACATGTTGCATCCAGACCCAGGAAGAAGCATCCATGTTGTGTTTTAGAAGTAGAAAACAAATGTAGTGAATGAGCCTTGTTTGGCAGCTACATTAGCCTTCTGCTAACTTGTCCCAGCTTGTTTTGATTCAGGTTTGGTTTTGGGCTGCTCTGTTGGTTAGTGGAAGAGGCCACTTGCCTCTTCTGCCGATCCAGTAGGATCCTATCTGATCCCGTTCTGAAATAGCTGAGATCCTTTACAGAATAGTCGTGAACTCTACCCCAAGTACGCTCGTGTCACTTCTTCGACCCAAATATTGTCGCGTATGTGAAATGAGAGGCTCTGCTGTTTTGTGGAAACGTGTGCTTCTGTGAAGGGAAGATCAGAAAGCTTGGGGTCACCACCTAAGTAAGCATCAGGATTAGTACTAGCTGGTAAGGACCTGAAACTAGGAGACTTTCTAACCTGAGCTCTAAGGACCTGAAACTCTCCTCCGTTGGAAATCGACCAAAGTTTTGTGAAAGATTCTGATTTAATTAAGGAAATTCCTGAGTATCACAACTTCTCCTTGTACAAACAAAACAGAGCCCCATTTGCAGCTGCCTCAGCACAAGGCTGGCTTTGCTTTCATTAGTCAGGCTGAGTGCCAGTGGCCGCCTTGCCTGACGGTTCTAAGCTGTCTAATTTTTAAGACCTGCCAAAAATGGGTTTGGGGGAGGGGAGGAGGATTTAAATCCTGATTCGGAAGGCTACTAATCACTAATTTCTTAACCTACGAACTGTAAACTGCTGCCTGTGCTCTGGCACATGCCCAGAAAGGAGTGCTTTGCTGCACTGTGGCTTTAATGAGGAGTTAGTAGTTTCCTTAGACCCATTTAGGAACGTGACCTCGTGCATGGAGGAGCATCACGTTAAAAGCTTTTTGGTGGTATCAGTGCTGGGATAAAGGATAACTGAAGGCATGGCAGCAGACTGCAAGCAGTTTCAAAAGGCAGAGTTTGCAATGTAGAGACAAATCCAGGAATATGGAGTTTGATATAATGGAGATAGCAAAGGGATTAAAAGAAAAGATGACCT